GAAAAAAATCAAAGATGACCTCCCTAAATGGAGAGGCCTACCTTGTCAATGGATTGGAAGACTCAAAATAATAAAGATGTCAATTCACCCCAGGTTGATCTATAACTTTAGTGCAATTCCTATCAAAATTCCAGCAATGTTTTCTAGACATGGACAGGCTTATTAAAACATTTATATGGAAAGGCACAAACTGTAGAACAGCTAAAACAATCTTGGTAAAGAAGAATAAATTGTGGGAAATCATTCGAACTGATGTTGTTAAGTCCAACTATATAGCTGCAGTAATCAAAACAGTGTGATACTGGTGTGGGAAAAGACATAGACATCAATGGAACAGAAAACAGAATCCAGAAACAGACCATCCAAGTACAGCCAGTTGATTTTTGACAAAGATGCAAAAGTAACTCAATGGAGGAAAAACAGCCTTTTCAACAAATAGTACTGAAGCAACTGGATATCCATAGGTTAAAAAAAATGAACATTGACCTAAACCTCACACCTTATACAAAAATTAAAACTTGTAAACCACATATCTAACAAGGGACACATTTAGAATATATAAAGAACTCTTAAATCTCCACAGGAAAACAAAAGTCCATCCAATTAAAAAATGAGCAAAAGACATGAACAGGTATTTCACCAAAAAGGACACATGGGTGGCAAATAAGCACATGAAAAGATATTCAAAATCAGCTATCAGGGAAATGCAAATTAAAACCACAATGAGATATCACTACTACACACCTATAAGATTGGCTAAACTAAAAAAGTTACACCACCAAATGATGGTGAGAATACGGAGAAACTGAATCACTCACACATGCCTGGTGGGAATGTAAAATGGTATAGCTTCTCTGGAAAAGTCAGTTTCTTCTAAAACTAAACATACATATGACCCAGGAATTGTACACTTGGGCATTTATCCCAGAAAAATAAAAATTTATGTTCACACAAAATCCTGTAAACCAACATTTATAGCATTCTTATTTGTAACAGATAAAATGGAAACAGCCCAGATATTCTTCAGTGGATGAATGACTAAATAAACTGTGGTACATTGCTACCATGGAATACTACTCAGCAATAAAAAGGGACAAAATACTGATGCAAGCAACAACCTAGATGAATCTCTGGGTAACTATGCTGAGTGAAAAAAGCCAGTGGCAAAAGGATACATACCGTACAGTTCCATTTACATAATGTCCTCAAAAATGACAAAATTATAGAGTTGGGAAACAGATTAGTGGTTGCCAGGAGTTAGGACTTTGGGGAAGGAGATGAGGTGTGGCTATAAAATGGCAACAGGAGGGATCCCTGTGGTGATGGAACTGATCTGTTCTCTGTGGTGATGGTTACATGAACCCACATATGTGTTAAAACTGTACAGAATGAAACACAGACAGACACACACACACACACAGACTATATCCACAAAATGTAACAGTAACATCAATAACACATATGTAAACAAAGCAATAACAACAAAAAGCCAGGAACCTGCACCATATTTTTCATTACATATTTACAAAAGGGGATTCACAAGGAATTTTGTGATGTAACCCACAAGAATGTCGAGGATCTACTACACAGTGATATCCTTTCATAGGGAGAAAATGAGGGAATTTTCTACGAGAACCAAAAGTAATCTCTTAAAATGATAAAATTTTTATTTTAATCAGTTTTGTTTTTTTGGGTTTTTTTTGGCTGTGTTGGGTCTTTGTTGCTGCGCGCCGACTTTCTCTAGTTGCGGCCAGCGGGGGCTACACTTCGATGCTGTGTGTGAGCTTCTCATTGTGGTGGCTTCTCTTTGTTGCTGAGCACAGGCTCTAGGCGCATGGGCTTTAGTAGTTGTGGCACGTGGGCTCAGCAGTTGTGGCTCGAGGGCTCTAGAGCACTGGCTCAGTAGTTGTGGCGCATGGGCTTAGTTGCTCTGCGGCATGTGGGATCTTCCCAGACCAGGGCTCGAAACCACAGCCCCTGCATTGGCAGGCAGATTCTTAACCACTGTGCCACCAGGGAAGCCCTTTAATCAGTTTTAATACTCATCTTTCTAAAGTGTATTTCAAATACCCCCACCTTTTCAAGTGGAGTAGAGAGAACATAATTTAACTTTTTCCTGAAGACATCGGGATAGAATTATGATCAATTGTTATACTGTGCTATAATACAGTGATGTCTTTGAGGGATCCTGATTCAAAGCCATTTGCCCCTACACTAAATGGCCCAAAGCCTGCTCTCAGCTTGCTGATTCTGTCTACTTTTCCTCTGTTAGTCTATCAACTAACACGTAAAACAGCAGCATGTTGGAGCCCACAGGGACTTCTGAGATGACCTAGTCCAAGGGGACATCTTTTGCTCAGTATCACACAGTAAGTTGAATCATAAAGGCAGGAGTATAACCCTGGTCTCAGTGTGGTTCTCAGTGTGCCTGCCTCCAGCAGACACCCCTTTCCTATTTGCCACTTTAAACTACTATAGTAGGAAAACCAGAAAATAGGGTTGTCAGAAATATGTATTCAACAAGGATTTTGATTTAAGCCAGTGGGCCCTGGGTGATGAATTCGCATATAAAGTAAATCTTTGTGACAGGTATTTTGGCCCTAGCCCTTTTCATATAATGCCAAGTTTGTGGTCATGATCCAAAAGGCTAAGGATGCCATAGTCTGGCTGGGGCTAAGAAAGGCACTGTTATTCCTGTTTACTCATGTTTGTAGCACTTATTATAGACAAGTAGATTTTCTGTACATTCCCCCACTGGATGCTCTCAGGGCTCATTCTGCTTACTATGGCATTAATAACTAGCTACTCTTTCCAAGTAAATGAAGACATATAGAACATTATCCCAGTTCACCTCTTGTTCCAACCTCTAATGGGCAATGAAAATATATAACAGAGTCCTACTTCTCTGTTTTAAAACAAACCTTCCACCACCAATCTTTTATCACTTTGAAAAGTTCCAAAAATGAAACTGAAGAGATCAGAAATAAAAAACGAGATGATTTCCTCTGCACTCAAAATGTGTCATTTCAGTCACCAGAAACCATAAACACTAATTGTCATGAAACACAGAGAAATCAAAGGCCTTGAAATAGCAAAAGTACCTCTCAAAGGGCCTGAGTGTGACTGTCACTATATTCTAGTCAAGTAGTATTCATGGACACACAAGAAAGTTACCAAATATTTATTCCTGGTTTCATTAAAGCATATGAATTTTCAGTTGAGATCACCTTCTGTTCTAGATCTGTCTACGCTGGATCTAAACAATATCAGAGAGTTATACCTTTCCATACTGAATGCCATTTAGCATTATGCAAATTATAATCTGTATCTGACATTTCAAAGGCTGTCCTTTTGCAGAAAATCATAGAAAATTAACTATGTATTAATGGCAGAAAATGCTAGTCACCTGACAGATATGAATATAGGTTAAGAGATCAACCACAGGTTCCCCAACTTTTCACGGGCTCAGGTCACGCTTACCACTGTACCACAGCAAGGATGTGTATGATGACAGTACACGTCCTGAAAAATTTCTAGTATCTTGGATTTTAAGTTTTAATTACTATTAAAGAGCTTGACAGTCTGATTTCTAAATCCCTCAACTCCATAACAGTTGACCTGAACTATGTGATTGTCACCTTTCAGCCCATCAACCATGTCATCTGAAAAAATAAACTATTCCAATTGTTTTAAAACAATGAATTCTTTCACTCAGAAGGAGACACTGAAAACATTACTTTCCCCCCACTTCTCTCTTGATTTACAAAAACATGCCCCCAGATGTCATGACCACTCAATTTGATTTCTTTAATTCAAAATTATAATTTTCCATTTTGCTATACTGAATGTTATCTAAGAGTTAGAAGAACACTGAATTAGGATTAAAAAACCCTGGGCTTTAATCTTGGACTCCACCACTATCTAGCTTAGGTATGGCCTTGACATTTATCAAGCCATGTGACCTTCAGCAAATTAAACTCTCTGAGCACCACTGAGGACTCTGTGAAAAATCTAATACTATTTGCTCTATCCTAGCACAGGACCATTGTAAGGATCAAATAAGATAATGTATTTAAAAGAGCTCACGGGACTTCCCTGGAGGTCCAGTGGTTAAGACTTCGTGCTTCCACTGCAAGGGGTGTGGGTTCGATCCCTGGTCTGGAAACTAAGATCCCACATACCATGCAGTGCGGCCAAAAAAAATTTTTTTTAATAAAAAGTAAAAATAAAAGAGCTCAGTAAATTATAAGTCATTAATATATTATCTAAACAGAGAAAACTGAAAGTTTTATTTTTTTCTTCCAGTTTTATTGTGATATAATTGACATAATGCCACTGTATAAGTTTAAGGTGTACAGCATAATGATTTGATTTACATACATCATGAAGTGATTATCACAATAAGTTTAGTGAATATTCATCATCTGATACAGATACAAAATTAAAGAAATAGAAAAAATAGTTTTCCTTGTGATGAGAACTCTTAGGATTGACTCTCTTAACAACTTGCATATATAACACACAGCAGTGTTCATTATATTAATCATGTTGTCCATTACATCCCTAGTACTTATTTATCTTATAACTGGGTTTGTAACTTTTGACTGCCTTCATCCAACCCTCCCTGCACCCTGCCACCACCACCACCACCACCCCACACCCGTCTCTGGTAACCACAAATCTGATCTCTTTTTCTATGAGTTTGTTGGTTTTTGAAGTTTAATTGCGACAACATTGATGGACCTAGAGGGTATTATGCTAAATAAAATAAGTCAGATAAAGACGAGTACTACATGGTATCGCTTATATGTGGAATTTAAAAAATAATACAAATGAACAAACCTAACAAAACTAATGTTACATTTTAAAAAACGCAAACCAGCATATCAAGTAGACTTGTAGCAACCAATGCCGTATAAATTCTTATTGCTGGCTTCTTCTGAAGACATGTGAATAAGAAGTCATGAACATAGTTTATTGTAAATAAATACTTTTCATACCTGGCATAACAAAACACTTCCACATGTTGAATGGTTTTGTCCTTCCTGCTAAGAGCAATAGCTTCTTCATTTTCAAGGATCTTCTCTTGCCACAGTGGGCATTCATTTACAATATCACTGTTTTCCTAAACAATATACAGATAAGAAATTGTAATTAAATTGGGTACTCTGAACCTCTACTTTTCTGAGAAAATTTATACCTTTCTAAATTCATGCTTTGCCTCTCATCACATCAAAATGCACATATTACTTATTAATAATAAAGTTTTACATTTTGTTGTTAAAAAAGCAGGCCCAAAATTACTTCATTCTGCTGACTTTCAGATTTTTGAAGGTTGGTCACTAGCTGTCAAATTTTGATTATATGTAAAAGTATTTTTGAAAAGTACTCAGCCCAGTATAACTAAGGACTTTATAATAATCGACCTGATTATTTTATATTTAGAAATACAATAAAAACAAGAATGTATAACAAAGTATATAAACTCTCACTAAGGACTGAAAGTGGCCCTTTAAGTTTTTCAATAATTCCTAATTATATTTTATGGAGAAAGTTATATGATACAATATTTGAATACAGGGGATTTTTGAAGATGTCAAGATATACCTTTTCCAAAGGTCAAGGATCAATTTTTAATCTGTTTAAAATTTTAATCCATTTGTTACCCATCTCTCAGAGAGAAAAAATTTTTAATGTATTATATATACTCAACAAACTAGTAGTGAAATATAACTACAGTAGCCTTTGTTTTAAGTAAATTCACCTCAGAAAATTTCTAAAGTTACAGATTTCATAAAGTAGGGCAATAATTATTTTTAAAAGGCTGCACTGTCCTGAATTTAATATTTTAAGCTAAAGAAAACTAGTGGCAGATGGCTCTTATTATTAAGTGTAATTATTAGACAGCATTAAACATCCCAACATAAATAGAAGAGGAGGTGAAGTACAGGAACTTTGAACATACAGACAGGGGTTAACAGCCTGAAAAAAGAACTATGGACCAGGGACAGAGAGTGAAGGAAAAAAGGATATGGTGACAGAGTCAAGATGTTCGAGTAAAAGAAGCATTAAAATAAAAGAAACATCTACAAAAATATTTTGTTTTAATAAATCTAACCCATTACCAAAATTTATTTTTTAAAAATCCCTTCACTCACCAAAAATTTTCCATTCAGACAATTAGGGTATTTTTGTTGCTGTTGTTCTGAGAATCTAGACTAAATTTTTGCATGGAAGTACTGAATATGACTCAACATGAGGTGATCCTCACACACACTTCCCAAGGATAAGGTTCAAAAAAAGGTTTCTGATCAACATAAAATATGAGGCATATTCATTTAAACAGTTAAATGAATCTATTTATAACATTTACTTTCTTGATTCATACATAGTTTGAGTTATTACATGAAATGTTACTTTACAAATATTGCTTGTTTCTCCACACTCTCATTTCACACAATAATAAGATTCAAACTGAATCTTCAGTGTACCTTCAATGTCAATGTCTTTGTCATCACTACACTTTTTGAGTCATATATACCATTAAATCAATCAAGAAAACTAAAATGCTTAGCTTGGTACATGTTAAGTGCTTAGTTAAGTCTTAGCTGTATTATTCTTAGTTAACTGAATACAGTTTTCTAGAGTCTATCATCCTCCTTTCCCAAATGTCTGAACCCTTTTGAGATACAGCAGTTTCTGATTCTATGTATGATGCTCTCAGTAGGAATTCCATTTCAAGCCACATGCACCATTAACATAAAATTAGGACAGTTTTTTTAATGTCCCATAAAAATTGGTAAACTGCATGACAATCAACTCCCCGTGTTAAACGTACGCTGTAAATGATCTCTAAAAACTTATTTACAATGATATCCAACAGTTGTAGTAGTGAGATCCTACCCTTAGGGGAAAAAAATTACTAAATTTATATTGTTTCTTTCCTTGCATTTTGTTTTTACTGTCAGGTATGATTCTGTCACGTGACTTCTACAAATATGTAAAACCACCAATGACTGAGATCATTTCAAATTAATGTATCTTCCCCAAACACTTAGGTTTTTTTCCAAAACATACTAACTGAAAGAACAACTAGTAATATGTGAGATTTTATAAAGACTGAAATATTTTTTCTGAAAGACTGGGAGAAAAAAAATCTTGCCTGATATTTGGGTGTACAGAGTAATTAGCAAACGGTATGAAACATATATGATTTATTCTTCAGCCAATGTTATCTGTTTATACTTAAAAAGTGAAATCTATATTTTAGAGGTATTGGAAAAATATTAGCTGCAAAGGTGACTGCACAGTTTTTGTTAAATAAGTAAATAAGCTATCAATCCTATATTACAGATGAAACTTAGTGTCTTCTTCAATGCAGGGTTATTATGTGACACAAAATATAACCTAGTAGATTAAAAAATCAGATAAGAACTTTACCTGATGTTCCTTTAGCCAGGACAACAGTCCTGAAAAGCTAAAACTGGCCCAGTTTCCTCCATAGTAGCTTCTTCTGTAACAATAAAAAATAAGAGTAAAGAAAAGGGTATAAAAAAATCAAGTCACTGATCTTCATCCCATGTCATTTTCAACAATGCTACCCCAGAGTTCAAAAGCACACATAATAGGGATGCTGAGATTAGAGGAGACAGTAGAACAAAATAAATAGAAGTGGGCCTTTCAGATCTCAAAGTCAACTTTTCATTGTATAAGGAGTTAAAAGATCGCTTTGGCCTCCTTAGAGCTTTCAGCACTGATCAAGTGCCACGGGATCATGTGATTGTGAACATCCTGATATGGTCACTGAGCAGTATATTTGTTTTAACATAAACAAATCTCACTCCTGGGTTAATAAAAATGGCTGGGAAGAATATCTTGGTAGATCTCAAAGAAAGCCACTGGAAAAAACTGCTAAGTTTTCCACAAGCAGTAAATATCCACTGCTAGCACCGCCACCAAACCCATCTCCCATGCCTAAATAAATTTTGTATATACACATATATAATTGGCTACTCAAGATCTGCTGGAAGGCCCTGTGCCATTCTAAGCCTTCAGGGCCACAAATAAAAGTAGATCCTGGGACACAGTCATTCACATCAAGACTTCCATGATAAGTATAACAACAACATTTCCACTGGTAACTGGGTAAACTATTCTTCACTCCACAGTCCTGTGAAGATCACTCCGTTTTACAGAACCCAGAGGTCTCCTAGCTAGGATCAGGTAAACCTTGTAGACACTGGACTTCTGATTAACTTCTGTAAGTAGCAGACTTTTGGCAACCAGAACTCTCAGCACTACACACTGGGCTTCCCAATCCTTGCAAAACTCATCACATTATACTGATTCTTTGTATGATGAGCCCCAAAGTACACTCAAACCCACCTACAATATCTACTCTAGTTCTGAGAGATTCTTGGTTTTGTTTACATTTTTGCTTCTCTGTATCCTTCTCTAATGAAATAAAAATCTATAAAAGGTCTTTTTTAAACAAAAACTAAAACCTTTAAGATGATATCTAAAATTACTCATCCATAATGCTACTGGATATCCTCTAAAAATTCTGATAGATTTCTCCTCAATCAACTCTTGGTTGGTCTCAAGAACAGTCAGTTTTTAGGCTCAAATATTTTACCAAAAATCACTGCTTGCTCTAACAGAGAAAATGGTTAAACTGAACACCTGTGAAAGTAGGTCTATTAATACAGATCACTACTTTACTTAAAAATCTGATAATTCTCTTGGGGATGATGCAAATTCCTACACTATCCAGATCTCTAGAGAGCTTTAAAATTTAGGCAAAATTTCAGCTATACTAACAATTCTAGGTGTTGGAATCAAGGAAGCCTAGAAGCTATGATCCCTTGGATCAGAGACAACAGTGGAAGGAGAAAGTGGGTAATAGCCAGTACAGAGAAGAAGGAGGGAAAAGAGAGGGATGTTAGAGTTTTCCCATAGCAAATTTATACTCTCTTCTCCCTTGCCTGAGAATAATACACTCCTGCCATCCCTCCCCATCCTCTAAACACATCACTCAACAAAACTATAAAATATCCTGAGTGTTGAAAAAAATAAACCTGAAGCAGTGATAAAAACCACTGTCTTTAAATTTTTTGTTGAGATATGTAGATTTATTTTAAGCCACCATAAGGTCCTAAATGAGAAGCTCTGACTACTGGGTGAAAGCTTCAAGACCTAAATAAAATTTTTTAAGGGCTACATCAATTTATAACTAGTAAATATATATCAGAAATCTGACAATCAGGGTAGACAAAGACTTCTCAGACAGGACACAGAAAGCAATAAAAACTATCGATAGAAGGGGGAATCGGGAAGATGGCGGAAGAGTAAGACGCAGAGATCACCTTCCTCCCCACAGAAACACCAGAAATACATCTACACGTGGAACGGCTCCTACAGAACACCTGCTGAACGGTGGCAGAAAACCTCAGACCTCCCAAAAGGCAAGAAGACCTCAGACCTACCAAAAGGCAAGAAACTCCCCACGTACCTGGGTAGGGCAAAAGAAAAAAGAAAAAACTGGGACAAAAGAATAGGGATGGGACCTGCACCAGTGGGAGGGAGCTGTGAAGGAGGACAGGTTCCCACACACTAGGAAGCCCCTTCGGGGGCGGAGACTGCGGGTAGCGCAGGGGGGAAGCTTCGGAGCCGCGGAGGAAAACACAGCAACAGGGGTGTGGAAGGCAAAGCGGCGAGATTCCCGCACAGAGGGTCAGTGCCGACCGGCACTCACCAGCCCAAGAGGCTGGTCCGCTCACCCACCGGGGCGGGTGGGGCTGGGGACTGAGGCTCGGACTTCTGTCAGAGCACAGGGAGAGGACTGGGGTTGGCAGCGTGAACACAGCCTGCAGGGGATTAGTGCACCTCGGCTAGCCTAGCCGGGAGGGAGTCCGGGGAAAAAGTCTGGACCTGCCGAAGAGGCAAGAGACTTCTTCTTCCCTCTTTGTTTCCTGCTGCCCGAGGAAAGGGGATTAAGAATGCTGCTTAAAGGAGCTACGGAATTGGGCACGAGCCGCAGCTAACAGCGCGGACCCCAGAGACGGGAATGAGACGCTAAGGCTGCTGCTGCCGCCACCAAGAATCCTGTGTGCGAGCACAGGTCACTATCCACACCTCCAATCCCAGGAACCTCTGCAACCCGCCACTGCCAGGGCCACGCGACCCTGAGACAACTTCCACGGGGCACCATACGGCACGCCTCCGGCTGGCGCAACATCACACCGGCCTCTGCCGCCATAGGCTCTCCCCGCACTCATTGCCCCGCCCTCCCCCAGGCTCGCCCCGCACTCTGTGCCCCTCCCTCCACCCCCGCCCCCGGCCTGAGTGAGCCAGAGTCCCCGAAGCAGCAGCTACTTTAACCCTATCATGTCTGAGCGAAGAACAGACGCCCTCCGGCGACGTACATGCAGAGGCAAGGCCAAATACAAAGCTGAGACCCTGGAGCTGTGCTAACAAAGAAGAGAAAGGGAAATCTCTCCCAGCAGCCTCAGAAGCAGCAGATGAAAGGTCCACAATTAACTTCATGTACCCTGCATCTGTGGAATACATGAATAAACAAGGAATCATCCCAAATTGAGGAGGTGGAATTTGAGAGCAAGATTTATTATTTTTTCCCCTTTTCCTCTTTCTGTGAGTGTGTGTCTGTATGCTTCTGTGTGAGATTTTGTCTGTATAGCTTTGCTGTCACCATTTGTCCTAGGGTTCTATTCGTCCGTTATTTTTTTCTTTTTAAAAAAATTTTGCTATTTTTTATTTTAATAACTATTTTATTTTATCCTCTTTCGTTCTTTTCTTTCTTCCTTCCTTCGCTTCTTACTTCCCTCCCTCCTTCCTCCTTCCTTCCTTTCTTACTTCCTTTCTTTCTTTCTCTCTCTTTTCTTTCTCTTTATTTTCGTTCTTTCTTTCACTCTCTTTTCTTTCTCTTTCTTTCTCTCTCTCTCTCTCTCTCTCTCTCTCTCTCTCTCTCTCTCTATTTCTTTCTTTCTACATTTTCTCCCTTTTATTCTGAGACATGTGGATGAAAGGCTCTTGGAGCTGCAGACAGGAGTCACTGCTGTGCCTCTGAGGTGGGAGAGCCAACTTCAGGACACTGGTCCACAAGAGACCTCCCAGCTCCACATAATCTCAAACAGCGAAAATCTCTCACAGATCTCCATCTCAACACCAGCACCCAGCTTCACTCAACGACCAGCAAGCTACAGAACTGGACACCCTATGCCAAACAACTAGCAGGACAGGAACACAACCCCACCCACTAGCAGAGAGGCTGCCTAAAATCATAATAACTCCACAGACACCCCAACACACACCAGCAGACGTGGACATGCCCACAAGAAAGACAATATCCACCCTCATCCACCAGAACAAAGTCAATAGTCCCCTCCACCAGGAAGCCTACACAACCCACTGAACCAACTTTATCCACTGGGGACAGACACCAAAAACAATGGGAAATACGAACCTGGAGCCTGCAAAAAGGAGACCCCAAACACAGTAAGATAAGCAAAATGAGAAGACAGAAAATCACACAGCAGATGAAGGAGCAAGATAAAAATCCAACAGACCCAACAAATGAAGAGGAAATAGGCAGTCTACCTGAAAAAGAACTCAGAGTAATGATAGTAAACATGATCTAAAATCTTGGAAATAGAATAGACAAAACACAAGAAACATGTAACAAGGACCTAGAAGTAAAGATGAAACTAGCAACGATGAACAACACAATAAATAAAATGAAAAATACTGTAGAAGGGTTCAATAGCAGAATAACTGAGGCAGAAAAACGGATAACTGACCTGGAAGATAAAATAGTGGAAATAACTACTGCAGAGCAGAATAAAGAAAAAAGAATGAAAAGAACTGAGGACAGTCTCAGAGACATCTGGGACAACACTAAACTCCAACATTTGAATTATAGGGGTTCCAGAAGAAGAAGAGAAAAAGAAAGAGACTGAGAAAATACTTGAAGAGATTATAGTTGAAAACTTCCCTAATATGGTAAAGGAAATAGTTAATCAAGTCCAGGAAGCACAGAGAGTCCCATACAGGATAAATCCAAGGAGAAACACGCCAAGACACATATTAATCAAACTGTCAAAAATTAAATACAAAGAAAACATATTAAAAGCAGCAAGGGAAAAATAAAAAATAACACACAAGGGAATCCCAGTAAGGTTAACAGCTGCACTTTCAGCAGAAACTCTGCAAGCCAGAAGGGACTGACAGGACATATTTAAAGTGATGAAGGAGAAAAAGCTACAACTAAGAATACTCTACCCAGCAAGGATCTCATTCAGATTTGATGGACAAATTAAAACCTTTACAGACAAGCAAAAGCTGAAAGAGTTCAGCACCACCAAACCAGCTTTACAACAAATACTAAAGGACCTTCTCAAGGCAAGAAACACAAGAGAAGGAAAAGACCTACAATAACAAACCAAAAACAATTAAGAAAATGGGAATAGGAACATACATATTGATAAGTACCTTAAA